TGATGAATGTAAAATAGCAAACTCATTGGGAATTCAATCCAATGACTTCCAGCCTGTGTACCTAGCGAGCCATTGCGCTTTTCTGCTCTAAAATCTCCTCACTTAAGTTTGGCAGATGGAAAGCATTTCTGATTTTAACGTCTCAAGGCAAATGCAACAGTGTCTTACACTTTAGTTGGCCGCGTTGACCTAATGGTCTTCTTTTTTTCAAAAAAATTGCCAGCATTTACCATACTACGTTTTGTCGGATTTTTTGTGGGACAGTCTCTGCAAGGCGTTGGTTCCCGGAACGTCACGTTTTCCAAGCACTGTGGGCTCCATATTAATGTTCTGGAGTAATTTTGTGTTTTCCTTTCGACAGCGAGTAACTTTATTTAGTTTCAAAGATGAAGTCTTTCAGCACCCACTAAAAGCTCAGAGCTATATAGAAATTCAAACAAACAACAAAACAAATACTCTTGAAGTCGATGATCATCTATTCTAAGACATTGCTCGAAGATCTTCCAAAGCTGCAATCTGATTTCACTGCACGCTTCCGGTGATCTTCCAAAACAGGCTCGATCTTTGAAAATTAGATTTTAGATCTTTTTTGGAATAATGCCCACCACTTTGCATCAGTCCCAAGAATCATCCCTTTTTCTTCCTCAGAACACCTCTTGTCCAGAGTTGTCAGTTGCCAGGAATAGCGCATCAAATTCAAAGAAGTTTGAGCCATCATTACTTGATGATAGGGAGTAAATGAGTTTTGATTCACTATAACAATAGTTATCATAGAAGCTTCTCATAGAACTGTTCTTGGTATATTCTGCTCTTGGTATTGTAGTTTCTTGAGGGTTGAATCAGAGGATTTTTTTCTTCAACCCGGTAGTTCTGATTGGAAACGATAGGGCGGCTGTTCATGTCACGAGAGATGAAAAATGCCTTAGCATCAGAAACAGTTCCTCTGCTCCGCTCATTTCATAGCCGTTGAGATGAAGAAGGTTCCAACGGAATCAAGGATTACATAACTGCTACCGTTTCCGTAATAACTTCGTATTTGCGTATGGAAAGCCTGTAGCTTAGTTGGGAAACGTGGGGCAGAGAGATCCAACGGACGGATGGGTATCGCTCGCATAGGGGATGCCCAAAAACGAGAGCCAAGTGTAACTGAATCAGGGAATGGGTCTCCTAATTAGATGGGCATATTTCTTGCTTACCTGTTGTACCGCGATTTTTTTGACACCTAAGAGCCCTAGCGCCCTTGGCATAGGGCACGACGCTCTGAGCTCCGTGGCAATGCATGTTTATCGACCGCGTGGAGGCGAATAAAATGGAATATGGGGGCGTAAAATAAACATCCAATGGAAATGGAGCGTGGCCATCCTCACCGGTGTAATTCCGTCATGGCGATTATTGTTTCAAGAACATCGTTGCAATAGGCTTGAATTACCGGCAGCGTTCTCCTTACGTGACCTCAAATCGATGACCCCTATACTCGAACTCGTCGTTCCAGGTAAAGTACCAAAACATTTGGAGAAATCACTTGGTTGTGTTTGCTGTTTGCATACCTCAACGCATTAACGCACTTTATTGAAACGATGTGGAAGGTCACAATGGACGTGTACGTTGATCTCGGTTCCACACAGCGCCAGGCCTACGCGGTGGAATCGGGTATTCGCCCACAGTGGATTCCATAGGCGAAACTCGGTGCCAAGAGAATGTTAGGCCATGAATTGGTTCACGCTCGACCCAAAATACACGGCAAAAGAGTGAAACCCAAGGCATGCCTTACGCAAATTGTTCCGCCCCAGCGGGGGATATTGGTTTTTTTGGTTTGGTTTCATGCTCGCTTTGTTTCCGCCTAGGGGAATTTGGTTTTTCCGACCTGTGATTGATCTCTACGTGTACCTCATTCCATTGCTTTCAGACTAATCAACAGACTTCTAGACAACGGAAGCCGAGCTCCATTCAATCCCAAACCAAAGATGCCATTTCACAAGGTACTTCCTGATTTTCCCCAAGATTTTCTCGTCTCAGAAATCGTTGTGGTTCAGATGGAAAACATCTCCAATTTCCTCGAAGCCTGCAAAGCGTACGGTGTTGCCGAGATAAGCTGTTTCCAGACTGTTGACTTGTATGAGAACAAGCAATGCTATAAAGTCATCGAATGCCTTAGATCATTGGCTGCTGTGGTATGTTACTAGAATTGCTGTGAAACGAGAGTAAAGAAAGTTATGAAATGTAGCGAATGTAGCGCAATCTGACGGCTGCATTCATTTGCAGGACGTTTTTTGGACGCCTTAAAGGTAGTGGTCACGGAGCTGGAGGGTGGTGCAGTTTTGGTGACGACATTGAACGTCATTGCCGTGAGAGCATAAAGAGGCGGCCCAACCGCTTAAAGGAATCTTCCACGGACCATGGACCAGTGGGCGGGACCGGAAGTTTTTGTGACGAAATGCATGGTAGGTACGGATCCACGTGTCGAACGCACGAACGTGAACAGGATTCACTTCAAACCTTCCCATGAACGTGGATCCGTACCTACCATGCATTTCGTCGCAAAACCACTGGTCCATGGTCCGTGGAAGATTCCTTTAAGTGTGTGAGGGATAGAGTCAATAATCTCATCAAAACTACACCTGCCCTCCAGACGTGGCGATCACTGCCTCTGAATTGGCAGCAAAAATATCAAAATAGCATAAACTTTCTGGAAAAGACCTCTGCGTGGAAAATTGCCGCGAGGTGGTCTCCTGGCCCATACTAATGTTGACCTCCAAAAAGGGATTTCGCTGATATTCGTTCCAAGCAACTCTTCAGAGCTGGTGCAGAAATTATGCTATCGCAGCCGAGAATGACCGTAATAAAGAATAAAAAACAATGAAGCCAAACGGAACGAACCTCTTATTCTTTTGGAAAGTTTGGAAGTGTAGGCTCAATGCCTAGGGCAGACCAGTTTCTCAGCGATTCCCACAGGATTCCACTTGCTGACGTAATCGCGATCTTAGAGGCAGAATTTACGGTGAAAAGCAACCCATTTCAAACTAAGTCAAGGTGGTCAGTGGTACACGAAAGAAGGAAAACCATGAGAAACGGCCCAGAACCCGAGAAATGGGACCCCTTCCTTGCCCGTTGATTTGCGCATTGATGCGACTCTCATCGCTGTGCCCTCTTCAACACTACGCTCTCTCTGCTATCTAATCACTCGCCACGTATAGACCTGCGGCGAGTGATTAGATAGTCGGTGGGCGTACCCCGCCAACCGCGCCAAGAGTGAGCCATGCTAGATCGCCGAGGTCAAATCTTTCGCTGCCAATTGCGCGTCGTCAGCACCCTCAGGAGGTCCGCCTGTCTCCCCACTAGGCAATTTTCCCCTTCTTCGACCTTCGTTCTTATCGTGGAATTATTCCTAAATGGCTACTGTTGGGGTTTTCCCATGGCATCCTATGTTGGTTCCACCCCCTTATTTTTACTGATGGCATGCGTAGGCACGCAGGGCAGAGTTGACTCAGACATGATTCTATCCTGCAGGCTACTCACCTGCCGTACGTTGGCTTGTTACATCGCCTCCGTCATTCCTTGAGAATGTAAAATCAACGGGAACGGGAAAATCAGGGGGCGCTACTATAAATGTCCTGTACGATCCATTGCAGCGCCCAATTACTCTTATCAGATATCAGATAGCTTCCGTCGTTGTTCTTGTCACTTCAAAATAGCTTCAACAGAACTTTTTTTCTGAAGGTCCCTTTCACGAGATTTTCGCAAAGAGAATGTAACTGTTTTCACATCGATTCTATATTTTTCGATCTACACTCACTATTAGAAGGCGTTTAGGCACAAGCTCGTGGAGCTGACGTCGAATTTCCACCATGGGTAGTACGACTGTCACACAGCCGTCCACGACAGTTTCCGGAATCGGTGATGCGACGCGGCGAGATGGTCATACCACTTCAGGTAAGCAGGCCACGCTCTCTTGTTAGAACCACAAAAAGAGCTTCGAAGTCTCAGCGGCGCAAAAGAGACATGGAACAGTAGATAGGACATTTTCCCGTACCATCACGATGTTCCGTTTGGTAGTGGTGAACTTTTTTTCAAATCGACTCGTTTTCCTGAATACAGTCGTCTGGAATTCCGCACAACCCTCTCATTCGGAAGCATTTCTTCTTTTTAGGTTTTCCTTAGGCTCCACACCGTGATAACCGATGATTCCACAAGTTCAAAGGATTCAGCTTTTCTGACCACGTGGACCTCCATTTTTGCAAATTTTCGGAATTTCGACAACAATTCAATATTCCATTAAAAGCAAAGGATAAAGCATTTGCCGTTGATCAATCCCTTTTTGGGATGCGGCACGCATTCTACTTCCATTTGTACATTCGCAGTGGCATTTGAATGCGATGTGGCCTATACAATGACTTGCGGGGGCCAGCCGATGTTCAAGTCAGTGTTTTATCCTCCCAGACAAGTCTGGTACCAATTAACCGACCCCGAAATGGATGGAAGGCTTGGTTGGCCCGGGCGACTCACGACCCAGGATTTTTGCATTCGGATCGTCGCGTTGTAGGGTAAGCGTTCATCTGCCTCGCCACTTCCGCCACCTCAATATTTATTAGTTGCATACTGGATTTCGCAAAGACATGACACTGAAAATCGATGTGTCTGTATAGGACCAAGCCGTCGTCCCACTTTTCATGAAGAATCGCAAATCGTGTCTGAAATCACCTGCAGTTCATGTTTCATGACTGGAACGAGAAAACTTCAAACAATAGGCTGATTGTCCGTTTCAACTGGCCACACTTGCCGTCGTCTATCATTTTTCTAACGTCACAAAAACTAGACCCATCAAGAGCTACCCAATCTTCTCATTACGTATCAACGGGACAAAACCCCTAAATCACTACCGTGTTTCCGGATGTTTCCAATAGTGAACGCTCAGGCACCATTTTTTCGAAAAACCGTGGATAAATATTCGGTAACAAGGGGCTTTGTATTTCACTCTCTCATGAAGGAGACATACATTACGATTTTGTTCACAGATAGTAGGGAAACGACTTTAAAAAAAAATACAGGCCCTAGAGTAAGCAGGATTCTTTGATGAATAATTGTATTGTCAACTGATACGACAACTGCAACCGACGAGTCATTATTCGCAGAGAACATTTACATTTTGAGGAGGTCGTCACTTGTGTGTAGGTCTGCACACCACGCTGTTCTCGTTTTTTGATAGGGAGGGTACGTGACAAATCCAAATAAAGGACTTAACAATACCGACTGCATTACCCTTCTTCCTTTTCAAGCGGCATTTGTAAGAGTTGATAAGATGCATTTTAGGTCAGTTAAGATATTCGCCAACAATGTTTGACAGATGGTGGTTGATAATAGGCCTCGATAGGATGAGAGCTACTTGGTTGGTAAATGTTAGATTTAGTCGAAGGACTTGAAGTGCAGCGGCGCCTGTATGTATCGAAAACGCGGTCCGCAAATTGAGAACATCTTCTTCCTTGCGCGTCACATTACTGATTGAGAGACAACCTCTATGGACCATGTCAACATTGGTAAGTGTGGTAAACATGGTAAGCTGTGTTTTACCACAGAATTGACTATTTTCTGAGCAGTTCCACCAGCCCACACTTCATTTTGAACCAATTCAGTGTCATTTCATCATTTTTTGAGCGATAGAGATTTGAAAAGCGATAAATAGTACAGGAGGTAGAAACACGCCTTCCGACATTAAAATTTGAGAGACCCATGGACAAAACTCACGTTGGGGATCAGAAGAACATTTATCAGTCAACACAAGGCGAAAAAAGGACCGCGGTTCGAGTCCTCCCCCGTCTTTTTTCGAGAGTTCTGGTGCTGCAGCGCCCACATCCCTAGAAATTTTGCTTGTGTGCATTAACAACTACTTTCGACCATGCAGTGTTGATGCAAAAGTCAGGAGTCGAATTTGAACAGAGGTCTATTACAAAACGGGTGTTGAAATTTTAATAAATTTATATCATTGGTTTGTGTGAGGCGGACAATCATGATCACATTATGTGAATGGAGCGCCAGCGCTTAAGGGTTTCACATTTTAACTGTGCCGCTATGTGTGACTCTAAGGACCAGCTTTTGACATCTGTTAAATAAAAAGGCGGCTCGAGCGACGCTCACGGGCTGAATGCCCACAGCGTGTACATTCAGGATTAATCGCTCCAGCGGCAGCTGTTCTTGATGGACACCCGCTGGCGCTCGCTTAGAGTGGGACATATAAGAGACTTCTCGCTCAAGGGCTTATATTCCAGCTGACCTATAATAAGGTGCGCCTCCCACATGAGGCAGGAGAATCCAGCGGTCCACACAAATAGCTGGCAGTGACACTTTGAGTGCTGGGCAACGCACGTGGGTTTGGCATTCTTCCATGCTTCACGGGCACATGGGAATTGAACGCTCAGTTGACGACGTGTCTCTCTGTGCGGTCGTTTTCGTATTGTGGGAACTGTCCTCAGGAGTAGGTTTGCAACCTCTGGCCGCTCCTTCTTTACACCGCTTCACAGAATAGTCTCGTAAATCGAAGGAACGTTTCCTAGAATCCGCAATGACAGCAAATTGAGAGCGCTGGATCGACCTGCAATAAGCACGGGAGAACCTTAACATCGGTCTTTATGGCGAGTCGAAGGTGTCAACCCTCCACTAATACATCCGGAAGACAGAGACAGACCCAGAATAAGGATATAAGTTCGTGTTCGAAGCTGAGCGAATCGAGAAGACGATTTTTTCGTATCCACGCCTGCCTCGGCAGGATTTTGGACATTCACGGCTAACACACATCCATTCTTGCAACCGGCTGGATGGCAGTTGAAGGTGATCGCCCCGTCCCCACGCAAGGAGACAAGGATATAAGGCAGAGCGAAAAGCTTGTGTTCATCTCCTTCACAATTGCAATTGGCGGGGCGGGAAGAGACAAGGGCGTTCAAAAAGCGCACTTTGCAGTCCTTTGCGCAGAAAAGGACTACGCGATTTGGCGGTACTTCGAATCGCCCGATTGACTGACTTTTCGGGGTGCCTCACAAGTTCCACTTGTGGGAGATTAATCCAGTGATTTTCTTCTACTCTATACATGTCGCCGATATCACTGATTGATGGTGAAGTTGTCAATGATTGGAATCGTAAAAGAACCTATAACATCTGTCTTAGAACTTTGGGCTCAAATCTATCACTATAATTTTCTACTAGAGTGTCAGTTGGATAGCTAGGGTTAAAACAATGCGCAATCAGCGATCATAAAACAAACCTATGCCCTCTGCTTCCGAAAACCAGATGCGCGTAGGGTGCAGACCATACACCACAAGTGACGACGCCTCCAAGTAAATCTGGTAACTGGTTCATAGATAGCTGATTTTGGAAATGATAGTTGTAATTAGTGACAACTGATAGAATACAACTGCAACAGGCTAATCATTTCATTGGCAGAAAACATTTACATTTTGCAAGGCCGTCGTCACTTGTGGTGTGTGGTCTGCACCCGACGCGCATCTGGCTTTCGGAAATAACATCAAACTCAGAAAGTGATTTCCTTATTTTCAGTATGGAACGAACAAATGCGCCAGTCAGAAAGGAATGACACCGTACGGTTTGGCACGCCAGATAAAACCTGATCCATCGGGATGACAACGACGTCAACGTCTGATCTATGTAATCAAGTCAATTATGCACATACCATCCATTTAAAAATAAAAATTCATTTATTATTTTACAGTGTTATTTCTAATACCCTCAAGGCGGACTTGGTATTACATTCACTATTACTACTCTATTTCATTTCTGAGAATGTCGGAAAATGGGATTATGGGTCACAGTTGAACGCATACACAACACGAAAATGTTTTCAAAGCGCTAAATTCAGAAAAGAACATTTGCCCTTATGAGGAACAAAGCTTCTACTGGAAAATTTTCGTTTTCTGTACTACAACAAGGAGATTCTACATGGAAAGTCTACAAGACAGATAAATGACGACAAAAACAAAAGAAAAGTTGCCAAATGAAATGGCATTTTCGTCAACGAGATAAGAAAACTGCAAGAGGTTCAAGTAGCACTATTGACAAATAAACCGACCCATACATAAAAAATCGAATCACAAACGCAGAATTATGGAAAACACGGAGTATAAAAACAGTAATCAACCGTACAGTGTTAATCAAAGGGAATAGAGGAGAACGAAAATCATAATAATAATCATAATCATAATAATAATAAAGGTTTAACATTAAAATCTACATGTAATCACTGAGGATATCCACCATTTGTGTTGGGTTTTTAACATTCAACAATGCACATTAGCTGAACACAGGGACAACGGGATGCCGGGATCTGTGTTCTGTCATAACATCTGTGCAACATAGCATGAGATAACGCTGTACCAGTAGTACGTTAACATCTTTCCTTAGGGTACAAACTCTAACTATAGATAACCAAATAAGCAGGTTTCTAAACACGTTCGTTCTGAGGCTTCTATGAAGGAAACAAACAAACAAAAAGGAAACTTAATCATAACACAGATGGCCAAATTTCAAGCGATACGGCTGAACAGTATAGCGAAATATGTGGAAGGAGGAAAATGGGAAGACGAACAGACGAGGAAGAGGATAGCTGACCGGTGATCACGGAACGCGAAAATGTTGGATGACAGATAACGCGAAACTATCGTGCTCGCGAAGATAAAAAGAGGACCGAGGCATTTTGCCTAAAAAGTAAAAATGATGAGTTGACGTTTTTACAGTAAATAGCAGGTGAATGAGATTAACGCTCCGGTCAGTCAAAAACGGTAAACTGAAGCGATTTATTTTATTTATTCGTGCGTGCAGTTGACGCATTTCGAAGACAAACAAAGGAAAAAGGTGTGATTAGTTAAAGGCACGAGTCGGGATTGAATTGATGCGTTATTTTGTTCAAACATTAGGCAAGGGGTGCAATGAGGAACATTAGTGAGGAGAAAAAGCAAAAAGCACCATAGAAAACACTAAATTTCCCTTAGGAGGCCGGCCGTAGTACGACGGAGAGACACAGCGCTGCGAGGAGAGGGAGAACGCGAGATAGTACGTCGTACGCGAGAGGACGCAGAGACCACGTATGCCGTGGTGGATTACGCTGGCAGCGCGGGCAGCGCGGCGGGCAAGGCCTTAGCGCCATTGCTTTTGGGTCGCGATAGTGTCGCGCCCTCAGTGCTTGGGGAGCCCACTATCGCACCCTGGGAAGAACTTCTGCTGGTTGCCTAATCCTGACTCGTGGCTTTAAGGAACTATTAAAACTGCATGATAAAGGAGACTCCGATAGACCTATTCCTTCCCCTTCCTACATTCATTGATAGAACCAGCAAAAGGAAACATTAGCACAGCTGATTCGCTAGAGGAACGAGGAAACCTCTTGGAACCTAGGCATGTAATGCACTTTTCCATTTGTTCTACTTGTTTCGAATAATTCCTCAAGGAAGTTTGTTTGAGTGCGACATCGCTACACATCATTGACAAAAAGTTCACCTTCTTTCCGTCGCTATTGCCTAATTTGAAAACAACTTTTTGTTTGGAACTCGGTTTTATCGCAAAATGGAGGGGTGGACGGCGCTGGCCCTTGAAAGCGCGATAAGCATTTTTTGTTAAGAACGTTGGTTTACTTCAAACATTAGATGAGGGAAGGGGAGGGTCCACAGTTATGTACAATTTCTTGCCCCGTACCCTCCTATTCCAGAGCTTAGTCCTGGAAATGTCTCCCCCATATGCAATAGCGCCTGAAATATTTTCAGGTTTGAATTGAATGTGAACCGGAGGTGTGTAGAGGCGTGTAGGCAGCTGGTATATCCCTAAGGTCCGGGACGTGCCAACAAAGGCACAGTATAACACTGGCTGCGGAACTTCCGCCATTGATCGATTCGATCTTGAAAATAAAGGAGCACGGGAGTATTTTTGCATTTATGTTATTGATCATTTGAATCATTTTGAAGCCGGTCAGACTTTGCAAATCGAGCGACTCGCTTAGTGTCCGCGGTCGTGTCACGGCTAGCCAATCGCTCGATTGGCTGGTACCGCAACGTAACCGCGAATATCAACCGCAAGAGGATGAATACGTCGTTCCCTCAGTTCTCTCTTCCGAAGTCCGACACGCCATCAAGTCGGTGAAGAATCGTACAGCACCCGGTCTCGACAGGGTTAAACCGGAACATCTGAAGAATGCACCGCCAGTTATCATCAAAACTCTGGCTCGACGCGCTACCTGTCGGAATGCAAGGTACCCACTCCGTGGAAAACCAGCAGGACCGTGTTGCTGTACAAGAAGGGAGACTTGGACGACATTGGCAACTATCGCCCAATCTGCCTGCTGTCTGTAATCTACAAGCTATTCACTCGAGTCATCCTTAACAGGATCGGCAGAATACTAGATGAAGGACAGCCATGCGAGCAAGCAGGGTTTTGAAAAGGGTCTCCAGGATCTCACCATTCTACAAGGAGGTCATCATCGACGTCAAGAGAGGGGTTCGACAGGGCGACACCATCTCGCCCAAACTCTTCAGCGCCGCTCTCGAGAACGTCATGCGTCAACTGGGAAGACATGGGAGTGAAGGTCGACGGCCGGCAACTACACCACCTTCGTTTTGCTGACGACATCGTTCTTATAAC